CCCCAAAACCCCAAAACCCCAAAACCCCAAAACCCCAAAACCCCAAAACCCCGAAAAATTGAGAGATAATTGAAATGATTAGATTTAATCTCCAAAATCTGTACCTGCCTGAGTAGAAATTTCTTCCTCATACAAAAGGTACTCATCTCCTCTTCTGTGATCTGCTGGAATCTTATGGAGATCAGCAATAGTATTAATACTAAGTCCTAGAGACTTTTCCTTATCTTTTATAAGCTTAATGGTTCCACCCAAGAATTTTGGTTCCTCAGACATAGCCTCATCCTCATTCTCAGACGTGTCTTCATCTCTACCCTCTATTCTTCGTCTCCTTATTTCCTCTCTTTCTTGTTTTTCTTTCTCTGCTAGTTCTTTGCATTCCTCTTTGATTTGGTCAATGTTGGCACTTAGCTTGTTACGTAGAATATCAATATTGCTCATGAAGTGTACAAGTTTCCCTCTGAAATTTTTCTTCGAATCTTCAAGAGCTTCCTCATATCCAATTTCGCCGTGGGCAACTTGTTTCCATTGACTCTCAATCTCTGCTCTAACTTTGGGTTCAAAGAGGTCGGGGTCGATCTCATTGAAGCCTTCAGCGAGGGCGATTCCTCTCTTAGTTGGAAGGAATCTTCTTACTCCATCTTTTCCTTCTTGGACAGTCACATATCTCCTCTTAATGATGGTATCAATATGAGTTGGAATTGTTCCATCAGTTCCGATTTTGTGCATCTCCATCTTCTGGATCAACTCAGGCTCTGACAAGAGTTCCTTAGTGGGAGGGAATCTCTTTTGAAGCTTGAAGCTTTTGACTTTGTATTGTTTCTTCTTACCAAGACTGGCTTCAGAAATACTGAGCATTTTCTTTTCTTTTTCAGTAAGAGGAAGATACTCAAGATACCCTTGGTCCACAATATTACTGAATTCGGCCTCAAGGGTTTCTTCTCCAAATTTGAACTCGGAGGTTACAGTTTTTAAAACAGGATTATGACTCAGCGTTGCAAAGAAGTGGTTGACAATATAGTAATATAGCTTCCATTCAGGAGAGTCCTCTTCGAGATATCTTTTCCCTCCAACATTATGGACTGGAGTAATAGGAGGATGTTCCTGTATCTTTCCTTCCCTTACTGTTACCATGTCAAAGCTTGTTCTAAGCTTAGATGCAGCTTCTTCAAAATCGCTATTTCTTTCAAGCATCTCAAGAACTTTATCTACTTCGTAATCTGCGTCATAAGCCCGACTGTGAGTTCTTGGATAACTTATCAGTCCATCTGTGTACAATCTCTGAGCACATCTCTTAGTGAAATCAACTGTATATCCAAACTCATTCGATGCAGAAGAGAGCAAATCAACGGTATTCATTGGCTTTGGCTTCTCTAATTCTTCAGTTTCATGCTCAATCTTAGTGACTTGCACTGAATTTTGAGTCTTAGCCTTTAGGAGATAATCTCTAGCTCCTTCTCTTGTCTCAAATTTTTTGTCCTTGAACTCAAGCTCTATCTCAGCTCCGCCTTGAGTCTCAACTGTAATGATTGGGAGCCAGTATGGCTTAGTCGAAGCTCTGTCTATCTTGGCCTGCCTCTGGTAAGCAAACCAGAAGGTTGGGAACTGACAAGGTCCATATGAAGTTGTGAATTCTCTCCCAATATTCAAAAACTCTTCCAACTCTCTTGACAATAAATGCGAGAAGGATATTCCCAGTCTGAGGTCAATCTCTGATCTTAAGTCATGAGCTAAAGCAAGATTCTCGTCAGGATGAGCACTTAGCTTATTGAAAGCATTCCATATTGCTCTTCTTGAAAGTGAAGAGAACTTTGCTCTCATAATGTTGTCTGGATTGTATCTTGTCGTCGAATAAGGATTGTCTCGGTAAAATCTGTAGTTCTCAAGCATCATCATGATTTGGAAGCAGATGTTCTCTCCAGAGGTATCATTGTCAAACCAGAGTACTATCATGTCTGATTGGTCCAAGTAACAGCAGAGATGTTCCTCTAAGCGCCTCATATTTGGAGCTCTTCTTCTTCCAAAATGAGACTTGTTTCCTCTGGCCAACTTGTTGTTGATGACCTCTGCGTCGAATGTCTCAAGAGGTACTTTTTGCCTCCTTAGTCTTTGAGATTCTTTGAAATCGTGTCTAGAGTTTAGAAGGCATTGTCTTACTCATAAACGTGACCATAGACTGACAAAATGTTGAAGTTAGCAATCATGCCTTTGTATTTCGCTTTGAACTGCAACACTGTGTGGCCATTGTAAGAGGATTCAAAATGCCCAGTACCTTCTTGAGAAAGAATATTGTAGATAGTCCTGGCTACCTTTGGCTTCTCTGCAACCATGGATATGTTAATGAATCCCTTCCTTCTTGAAATAAGCTTCAGTCTATCTATAAGTGCATAATGGTTGTTCTCCCATTGAATCTTTTCTTCCTCTGTTATATCTAAAACGAGTTAGTCACCGAAAAGATATTTTCCAAATGTCGTGGATTTAGATACTTACATAAATCTTCAAAATCTGAGCTCTCCTGAGTCTCAAAGCCTTCGTCAGAGTCAGACCAAGAGGAATCTAGATCTTGCTTGTCCTCTTCAGCTTGGTTATAGCTGCCTGCTCTTTGATCCCCTAAGGCTTGCTTCTTGAGTAAGCTCTATATACTGAGGTTAGATGTCAGTAGCAAATCCGTTGATTACCTTAGCCTTCTTCTCTTCTTCAATTGGCTTCTTAGCACTAGTGCTTGTCGGCTTTGTGGAAGAGGTCTGATTTGGCCCCAGATTCTTTTTGGATTTAGCAGTTGCATTTCCTTGTTTGGATTTCTTAGTTTGTTCCATTTATTCTATTTAATAGTACTATTAAGGGGTTTTGGGGTTTTGGGGTTTTGGGG